GTGTAGGGTTTAGGGTTAGGGCCCTCAAGGGTACCCCCATTTGAGAAACCACCAGCAGGTCGACCAAGAAAGCCGAGGCGGAATGGAAGTGGATAACCAAGCAGCCAAGATCTAACAAGTGTGCCTATACAACCATGAAGATGTGACTGCTGTGGCAACAACCCTTTCATTTTGGGCTGGTGGAGAATGCAGGTAGGTCTCTACAGGCCCTAGATCCCTGGAAATGGATAACCCTGAGCCCTTTTACCTCAGGGCATCCTAGCAATCCCACCCTGCAAAATTAGACCCATACTAGAATTTTGCAAAAAGCGTCCTAATCAAGAGGGGGGGGGGGGGGGGGNNGGGACAAAATCCTGGCTTATCAAAGAGGTTCACCCTCAAACCCTCAAATTGGACCTGTGCAGCTACTAAATTCACTATCCCGACAGAATCCCAGTATGCACCCCTATTATGGCACGTGCATAACACTCACCATATATCCCTGCAGAACCCCAAAATGTCAAGGTATATACTACATGTAAACTGACGCTATTAAGACACACATTTTTTTCAGGGATGTGCCTTTTGGGATCTAGGCTGCGATTCGAGTTGAGATGTCGTCTTGCAGTTTCAGAGTATAACCCTCGAGGGATACAAAGGCAACGTGGCAATCACTACATCATTTAGAGTTCGGGTTCACGATTTCAGGAAGCCAATAGGGAAGAAAGGATAGGAATCATCCTTTCGGTGACCTAAATGACACAGTTGATCCCTAAGGATGGTATATCGTTTCAATTTGTTTGTTGCTGAACGCGGTAGGATCATAATTACTCTGCTTGTAAAATACATTACCTCAAGGGAGGACATGATCTTACTCTTTGCTGGGAGCTATCTAAATTGCAGATAGGCAGATAGCCACTCAAACATGTTGCGAATTTTCATGAGTTGCCGCCCAGGGGCATACACATCAGTGCCTAAGCCCTCCATCGACTGGATATGGATGTCCCCTCCAAAATACCTGACCGTGGCTTATTTCTACTGGGATGAAAAGCACCACAAATGGGAGTTTGAGTTGACTTCCCAGACTTATTGGGAACTGCTACTATTGCCCCTTACACAGGTTTCCGCTTAACCATGCTAAATTAAGCTTGCTTCGGGCCAGGTGAGGATAAGTAAAGGGGAACCTTGGTGAGTAGTATGCAGGGAGTACAGGAAACCAAAAGACTCATAGGAATAATGGAAAAGAACATGGAAACTACTATAGCATGTTGGGGTTATATTGGGTTATGGTCGAATAATTCAAAAAGAAACTGGAAACTACTACGTATAGTATACTGGGGTTATATTGGGCTATAGAAGGATAATGGAAAAGACAATAGAAACTACAATGGTATATCACAGCCCTACTTACAGCTACCCATGCACCTCCCCTCCTAGCAGGGAGACTCGTGACAGATGATGTCTCAAGAAAGGCATATTCTAACTCCTGCCTAAGGAGGAATCGGGAAGCGGAGGCCTGTGGTAGCCCTCATGCGATCTCCATGACAATCTCCATGATGGTCTCTATAAGTACCCACCTCTCGATTCCGACCAAGGCCTCCTACACCCCAGACACTAAGCAACAAGCCGTTGACCCCAAAACCTAAACCCTGTGCACCTAGCTCGTCGGGAATATGAACAGGATGCCCTAATGCTTAGCGTCAAGACAGATTCTGGGACCATTGAAACAGGAGGCCCAGGGTTTGGGGCTGGCTTTTTATTGTAGGTAGCCACTCATGACCTACTATGTGCCAGTTAGAGGCTTTCCGGCTAAAGGACGCAAATCGTGCATGCAGGAACGAACTTGCGGCCAAAGCAAAGCATAGACGACATAGATGCGCAGACCCTTTGAAAATCCGCTTTCTAAGTCGCTACGCAAAAGCGGCCCCAGCTTTGCACGCAACTCAAAAAGCGTGAGCCCCATCAGAAAGATCGGCTTATAGACATATCCTTGATGGTAACCCCACCCGCCAAAATTAGGACCAATAACTATATATGAGATGGCTAGTATAGAGTATAGAGTCACGCCTCTTTTTGGTGGGACTGTTCCCAGAACCCGCTTGTTGTTTTTGGTATGCCACCCATAGAACCTTATGTGGTTTGGGTTTCATAGGGTTTGGAGAGTGGGGTCCGGTCCCTCTATTTGCACCCTAAAATTCTATGGGCACAAGTACGCGAACGCCCAAGAAAGGCCCGTAACCCCAACCGCCAAACCCTAACCCCAAACCGTCTTAATCCTCCTAAGACTCAAAGACCCTGAACCTCTAGAATCGCATGCTCTGAGCCTCTCAAACCATAAAACCGAAAAACTATAGCCTTCAAGAACCTGAACCGCAATCCCCTAAAACTCTAGAAGCCCTACCCGGCATGTCCTAAACTCCTTAATCCAGGAGTCTGCGGTATGCCATACATCATATGAGGATTCTTGCTACATCTTTGCGGTATATTCCTTCATTAAAGGACGTGTGAAGCCCCAGGCATCATCGACGCAGAGGTTACACAGAAGCTCAGGCCGCGACTGCGCGTAAACGCGCGAGAGGGGAAGTCCAAACCCGTAGCCTGCTCTGCAGGGGTTTCGGATCTAGGGATGAAGGGCTTCAGGAAGTTGTAGAGAGGTTCCATCGGAACCTATATTAGGATTTCGATGTAGGGTTTGATGGGTTTGAAGACTAGGGCAGCACTTTTTAATTTAAGGCTTGGAATTAGGTATTAGGCTGCTCAGTGTATAAGGATCCGTGTGCAGGGATGAGTACGCTGTAGAGTTACCCAAAAGCACCTCTCCTAAACCCTACGACCTAAACCCTAAACTCTAAACCCTATATCCTTCTATATAACCCCTATATCCCTTTAAAGCTTAAGGACCAGAATTTAGGGCGCCAGGATGCCACGCAACCCTTTCGCGGGTGGCATAATATTGCGTGTCATATAAGGCTTAGGGTTTAGGGCTTAGGGTTTTGGGCTTTTACGGTTTAGGGATTAGAGTGTAGGGCCTAGGATCTTGGCTTTAGGGCTTCGGGTTTAGGGTAGAATCCAATAGGTTCCATGGGAGGCTCCATGAGGCTGAGGTTGTATCTAGAATTGGAACAAGGGTGTTCTTTTGAGGGGCGTAGACATTTCGCCTTGTAAGTAGGTTCCCTAAAATGGCTAAGTGACTCAGGGTTTGAGCAGTGGAAGTTAGGCCTTGGAGTGTACCACCTGGAGGGCTGAGAAGGTTTAGGGTTCATGTTGTGGGTCCTGCTTAGTATACAAGGGACACAATGTTGCATGCACATGTCAGTCGTAGGCTGTGGGTGCACCTGCAACCCTGCATCGTGCGCACGGTGAAGAAACTACCTTTTGTTTTATGGAGGGATGCGATTGGAGTTTCCTTCCTTCCCACTCCCAAAAAGGACCCCACAAAGATATCGGTGCTGTTTCAAAGGCGGCTCCATGCGGCTCTGTGGGGCTCCATGTTAGCTTGGCAATGGGATTGGGAACCACTGGGAGTGCCAGGCACATTGAACTCCGCGGTTTAGGGCTAATCCTTCCCGGAACTTTGGTGACTTCTTGAAGTCGTGTGTTCGCACTTTATGCTGATAATCATTATTGTCGTTGTTATCCAGTCACTGTTATATCAAGTCGTACATTGTTGTTATTCTGTTGCTCTCCTTATTTCAAGGATTCTATGAGACTCATATGACAGTCATAAGGGCCCTGCTTTGGCGTTGGGAGAACTGAACTGCTCTTATGAGGTAAGGTGTCCTTACGGCCTCTTGGTGGGTGGCTCTTTGCTGAGTTTACATGTTTGGTGTCCGATCCCATAAGTTCAAGCCATCATGCCAGTCCTACCATTTTTCGTAAGGGCTTGTAGTATATATAGCTTCAAGGAGGTTGGGACTATAGGGTTTAGTGCTTAACCTCCCAGCCCTCACCCCTAAACCTGGCTTGCTGCTTAGGAACTTAAAGTAAGCTACCATAGCCAGGCATCCACAGTAATCATGTTATTTGGGCCTACATCTTGGCAAGAGTTTAGGGTTGCGGGCTTACGCTCGCTCCGTAAGAGCAACCCAGAAAACCCCTAACCGCTAACCTCAAACCCCAGGCCCCCAACCCCAAACCCTAAACCCTGTAAAACCTGAACCCAAACCCTTCGCCCCCCGAACTGACCTGCAAGTCGTCGCATCGAAGCAGGATCCCTTCCACAGAGCGTGTCAAAGTCATCCTGGGGCTCTTCGCCAGTTAGGGTTACTGGAGAATGGTTGCACAGGGGATTATACTGGTAATATAAGATTTAATACTAAGAATCTATAGGGGTTGCTAAGGGATCTTTACGTCCAAAAGTGCTTCTAGATCAAGAGGTTTCAACAATCCTGGGCTTTTGGGGTTTCATTGGGGCTTAGTGGTCGTTAGGCTTTAAGAGCTTTGGGGTTTGGGGTTTAAGGAGCAAAGCTTAAGGATTCGGGTTTAGTGTGTAAAGGGTTTGGGGGATAGGCGGCCGGGCTCCCGGGTTTAGGGCAGCCAATTTTTGGCGCGGTCCATTGTGAGACATCCCCAGGCAAAAGTGCAACAACTAATTACTAGTTCTTTCAGATCTTTACAGTTTTATAGGCTCTGGCATGCTCTTGGTAGGCCAGTTTACGGTTTTGGGTCTTGGCGGTTTGAAATTTCTTTCTTTGTCGCGCTTTGTCTCCAGGCCTGTGGGGTCAAAGGTCCAGGCGTTAGGGACTAGGATTGGGGCTTGGGGTATCGAACCTGGGCATCCAAGTGTCCAAATGAGAGTCAGATGTTTTGACGATAGCGTCAACCTATAACACAAAGAAACCCTACACAGAATCAACCCTGGACGTGAAACCCTAAACTTAAGGTGCGTAACCCTCAAACGCCTAATCTCAGACTTTTGTATCAAAAAACCGCGCGCTCCGAGCCCTGAACCTTAGGGATTGTGCCGACAAACTCCCAACCCACCCCTCCTTAGCAGAAACTCTCCACCCCCTGAGACTGAACGCTCACAAGTTAGAAAACAACATGGGGAAAATGCTCTCTTACTAGTTGCGCGTGGTGGCTAACGAGTATGACTGGCCTTAGGCACCCTAACTACCGGCAACATGGTTGAGGTAGCAGGAGAGAAGACAATGACTATTGGGAGCCCATAATATCCCCAAATAAAATACTACTCAATTGTGTTTGGGACCCTCAGGCCTTCTGCTTCAGCGGTGACCTCTGCTTTGCAGAGGTGTATCCGTAGCCTTGGAGTTTCCGCAGGATTGGGTTTAGGGTGTAGGGTTTAGGGCTTGGGGTTGGAGAGGCTGTGGGGGGATATGAAAATGTAGTAGGGGTTGATCGTTTTTTTATGGAGTATAGGCGGTATAGGGTTTAGAGCTAGACTTTTTTCCAAAGGGGGCTGCATCAGCTTCCATGTTTGCTTGCACAAGGGTCTTGTACCCAGAGTCTGTGTAGACTGAATGAACCCATTTCTCCGGACGCCAATGATCCGTAACGAGGGGCTCCTACTTCACTACTGTTGGGATTTGAGGGGATATTATGGTTTAGGATCTAGGGTTTAGTACAGGGTACACCACTCTCTTCAAGGGGAGTCTTGCATCCAGGTGCTTAGGACTTGTTCAGCATAGGATCACCCCGAAAGACCCCAGGGATGCATGGGATTCTATGGGCATTCTGAAGGCTGCCGGAGCTACGTAAGGCTCAGTTAGAGAAAGCCTGAATGTCTTATGTACCGCAACCCCAGACATGACGAGAAAGTGATATACCTAGGGTTGTGAAGGACGTGGTTCACCAACCATCTGATGTTTAGTGCCAGTTTCCATAGAATTTGGTAAATACTGCCTGAACATCCTCCACCCAACATTTCCATGGGTAGCACAACATACGAAATGCAGGAAGAATCAGATGCAAGGGCTCTGCCTCCTACATTTGACCTATTCGTGAGGTCTACAAAGTCTACACCCTAAACCCTAAATCTTTGTATATATGGGAATAAGCCCCGGCAGCCTCATGGAACCTATACCAAAAGTCCAGAAAATTGATTTAGGCCCCCACTGGCTCAGGGTAGCGAAGATAGGCCCTGAACCCTAAACCCCTGTTGAAATCATAAGAGGCTGGAGGGTTTCAACCCCAGACTCCCTAGACCCTAGACTCTGCCCTTGACCCTGAAACCCTACGCGCAAAACTCACTCCTCATAAATCCAGAAGGTATTTCAAAATGCAAATGTCAAAACGCCGCAAACCCAACATCCTAAAACCTAACTACTGAACCTCTACACCTTGACCCATAAATCCCGAAACCCAAAACGTCCCGCTGCCATCAAGCGACGCCAAACGTTGAGGAGCTGCTCGCGAGGCATTCCTGAGGCTTGGAGGTAGTGGCCTAAAAACTTAGCACAATGGAGAATCACGGAAATGAGCATAGAACATGATGCGGAACCAGGTTTACATCTGCGCTTATATCGAGGTTGCATGTTTCAAAGGTCTTGGCTTGTAGTTTGCATGCTGGGGGTTGCGCGCGGAAGCTAGGTGTTGCACATGCTATACTAGTCATATGCGGGTTACGTGGAGATAACACAAGTAATCTAAGAAACAATGCAGGATGCTGCATTACCGCGTCAGGGTTACGGATTTGTGGTTTCGAGAAATTTGGCGAGGAGTCCTCGTAACATTCATGAGGGGCTTGGTGTTCAGGGCTCCGGAGGGCTTCAGAACGTAGGTTGGGGGTAAGGGCTTCAGAGTTTAAAGTCAAGGTTTGAAGACGCGTGGCTTCGAGTTTGGGGTTCAAGGCTTGCGTTCCACCAGGTCAACGTTGGAGGGATTTTGATGGATCAGTCACATTTTGCGGCTAGATGTTTAGGCATGTGGCATGAGCTACGGGTGTGGGTGGGGGCTACTGGAGCACCGGAGAAAGTTTCGAAAACCTATGCCATACACCATACTGCGATTTTCGTGACTTGTCCCAAGCCCCTAGCCCCTACGACAACCCTTGCCAAAAAGCACGCCTCCTCCACGGTCGGAGATCTTTAGCGTCACGTCAAAGGTCCCCTTCAGCACAGAGACAGTGACCTCGGGTTCGAGATTCGAATTGACAGCTTAGGCTTTAGGCTTTAAGCTTAGCCTTATGGGTCCAATTTCATAATTTGGTTGGACGTGATTATACCTCATTTAAGGACTTGGACACTTTAGGCTTTGCGTTGAGGGTTGCTATCTTGGGCTTGGGGCTTTTAGGTTGAGCCTGGCTGTAGTGTCCATGAGTCTACCCACTATCTGAGGGAGCGCGCTCCGGCAGTTCCAAAGCACCATGTGAAACCCATGTCGAACCAAAATCACTCCTGAATGCCTTGAGTTCAATAGTTCTCCATGCAAGTTCCACGCAGCGTTGGCAATGCTTAAATGACGCTAGACCCTAAACTTAGAAAAGCTCACACCAACAACGCCCGATAAATCTCTGAATGAGGCCTAGTTGAGGCTCAAATTGCCTTCAATTAGGATCTCGTTCGAACCCTATTTGAGGGTGAGGGTTCTTGGAGGTGGGGGGTGGTATTATGGGATCTTAGTTCCTAAAAGCAAAGGCATTCCCTCGTCCTGAACACTAGGAACTCTAAGCCACCCTAAACCCGAAGCCCTAATTACTTGGCCCTAAACACTAGACTCCCAGGAGGGTGCGGGGCTTTAGGGCAGGGCAACTTAGGAAGTAGGTTTCGCTTTAGTAAACTGGAGTTATGGAGTGGCTTGTAAGATTATACGTATACCTACTGAGGCCACCATGCTCCACTCGACGGCTGCGACCTGCCTTCTCCTGCCAAATGCTCAGTTGCCTCCGGCTTGGTACCATTCGAGCTTGCCCAGGCTGCTGACTGCTCGGTTTCGCGTGCCTGCCACTCCACGCGACCATAGCAGGAGTGATGTCGGCGCTGTTGCGGCTTCTGCTTATGCAGCATTGCGAGGAGCTTGGCACCCTCTGGGTCGATCACTGGATCGTCTGAAGAAGGCTCCTCTTCCGCAGCCTCCTCCCAGCCCCATGCCCATTGGCAAGGCACTGCTACAGCCTCCACTTTGCCCGAGTTTGGGATCCAGCCTACTGAGGCTTGCTAAATCCTCCTGACCGTCCCCTCCAAACACGATGCATGTCGTGGCCAGTCCAACTCAAAAAATCCATCTGCTTTTGTGGAGGCCTGGTATTGGCTACAAGCGTGCCCTGGGTGCTTCAAGACCACAAAGGTGTATCTTAAACGCTCCCCCAGAACCGGTAACATTCTTTAACAAGAGTAGTATTGGGGGATTTGGTAGAACCACTATCCGACTGGTAGTGCGTGCCGGAAGATATGTGCTTAGGAATTATAAGGTCTAGGCCTGAGTAAACTAACAAGACTGGACGCGGGGCCTTTGTACACCCTTTATAAGATAATGGTTCCCAGGATAGTAGGAAGGATATCGAAATCCTGAACCCTAAATCCCACGCATTCTCTATCCCGCTGTAGTTGTAGGTCCTTAACCCAACTGATGCCCCAAACACACGTCAAGGACCTACTACCCCCTCCTCTATACAATGAACCCAGGTTCAGCCATAGTATACTAGCATACCTGAAGTAGCCCTTGTTATCCCTGAGTCGCTTAATTAAGGGGTAACCTAAGGGGTATAGTGTAAACCCCAAGCCCTAGAGGGGAGGGGTTAGTGAGGGAACCCCATGACAGAAGCAAGCTTGGGCCCCTGCAGGCGGCAGCTGTTTGTCCCGAAAATGGCGCTCCAGGGTCGCACGCATCGCGTTCTTCAGGATCTGCGGAAAGAAAAAGAGGGGCTGAGGGTTTTGAGGGTTTAGGATGTTGAGTAGAAAGCTGAGGTGCGTGGAGTGTTGGGGGTTATGAGGGGTTTCAGGGTGCAAAGGCAAACCCTAAACCGTATCCATGGTGTGAAGGACCCCCAAAATACAACCCACTTGCTTCCCTTACCCTAACGGTATGGGTACTTGGGTTTGGACCGAAACTCAGGTGAAACGTATGTAGGAAAAACCCCATTTGAGCCCAGATGAACTATCTGCTATCTAGATCCTTTTGCAGGCTTGGGATCCATCATTTTACCTGTTGGTGGTTAGTAAGAAATCACTATCATTCTTTTTAGAATAATAGCTAAGGGAGATCTAGGGACTAATTACTCTTGGGATCCATCCCCCCCTTGCCTCCGAACTGGCCAAGTCGAAAGACTGCAGAAAAAACCTGAACCCTAAACCCTAGACCTTGCGGGACCATTTTCTGAAGAACCTACCATTTGCCTTGAGTTCGGGTGGGCTTGTTGTAGGTTGGCCCGTATAAATTGATCCCCTCCCGCTAATGTTCGAATCTCCCCCCAGTATTCAGTATCTTATCGAATGTTATGTTAACTTGGGAGAAGTCAATATTAGAAGGTGAGGGGTTAAAACTAGGGGGAGGGGAGTAACCAAGAGTAAGTTCCAGGAAAGGATTGCCTCAGACCCCGAGCACCCTAAAGCAACGAGAACATGAAACCGAACCACTTGACCCCTGAACCCTAAACAAAATCCTAAATCCATACACCGTAAACCCTGAACCCTAAACCCTGAAGCAGGAGCGCCTCCTGCAGAACGAAGTGGAGATGCTCAGGGACGAACGCCACTGTTGTGCCAAGTTCGCCGTCCAAGACAACCTCGCAAGGTGTTTTGGGGGTGTAGACTTCATGGGCTTAGGGGAGGAGATTGGAGGCCCTTTTCTAGGAATAAAGATGAAAACTAAAGCGTAAGGTTTAGTAGGGTTTAGGGTTGGGGCTTACGGATTGCAGGTTTGGGCTCCATGCTTACGGGTTGTTCAAGATGATATGTAAGGTTGCCCTTCGGGAATATGAAATATTCGTGCGGGGAAGTTGTTGCAATGCTGCTTAAAGCAACGTGCTACACATAAACTCCCATGTAACTGTGATCATAATCCGATCGTAGCGATACTTGGGGGACTTATGGGACCTAGAAAAGCGGGCTATACCTACAGACAGAAGCAGGCTAAAAACTATCCCGGTAGAATGAGGTTGTCATGTTTACAGGTGGCTAGTTGGGAAGGTAGAGTTTAGAGCGACGGCCTGTTAGGGAACGCTTCTTCGTACAGGATTTTGCTTGTCAACCATAGCCTCTGCATCTGCAAGTCTCAAGGCCGCATGAGCCCTGAGCATTGGCCCTAAACGAGAGCCACAACCTTCAAACCCTGGGTCCTAAGATCTAAACCCGAAGCCCTAAACTCCAAGCCCTAGTCCTAACCCCAAAGCCCTGAATCCTAAACCCGAGTTGTCCACCCTACACCCCCAAAACCCAAAGCTCACTAATTCCTACCCTATGGGAACAGGAAACTCGGCCAGTACCCGCAATTCGCTACCCTAAGCACACAAGACCCGAGACCATTGCTTGTTTTAGGGTTTAGGCAGGCTTTAGGATCCACGGTCTAGTTAGATATCATGGGAGGCAATAACGTATTCTGTGGTTGAAACTGGGTTCTGGCGTAGGGCTGAGGGCGGAGGGAGATGGAACCTTGAACAGGAGCCCAAAAACCTGAACCCAAAACCCTGAACCCTAAACCCTAAACCCTCCCAAATATCTTGCGGCTGGTTATCAGGCATTCCGGGTCATGGTTTAAGGTTGGGGGTTTACAATTAGAGGTTTAGTGTTCAAGGTTCAAGGGTTGGGGTCTTAAGGTTTAGGGTTCAGGGTATGCGGCTTCAGACTAGGCAACAACTAAAACTTTGTTTGCCTAAAACTCTCAAAACACCCTCCCAGGCCTTACTGGTGCGTAACCGGTAGTGGATCTCCTTCCCCATATATACCACCATCATTAAGCCTCTTGTACGTTCTCCACTCCCCCTTCATCACCTGGGGCTAAACCCTGGCCCTAAATCCTAAACCCGAAGCCCTAAACCACGCTCGGACCAGGCGTCTTGCCGCGGTTTTATTTCTGGAAAAACATGGGCAGGCCTAAAAACACTGTATTTTACAGAAGTTTCAAGGTGTGTCCAACGTTAAAAATGGCTTTATGCTGGGTCGCGTGTTTTTGTAAAAACGCGACCCTCGTAAGAACGTCTCAGGAAATTTCGCGGGCGTCTTTTGTTCAAGCCTACGTTTTACGGGAGGTCCAAAACCCAGAAACCCCTACCCTTTTTTGGGGCATGGATGCTCTGGTCATCGACTGCACTTGAAACACGAACGGAATTATGGTTTGGGCATGGATGCTCTGGTCGCCGTATGCTCTTGGAACACGAACAGAATTATGGCTTGGGCATGGATGCTCTGGTCGCCGTATGCTCTTGGAACACGAACGGAATTATGGTTTGGGCATGCATGCTCTGGTCATCAATAGCCTTCGAACACGAACGGAATCATGGTTTGGGCATGGATGCCGCACGGAATTATGGTTTGGGGTTTGGATGCTCTGGAAACGGAATTATAGTTAGGGGTTTTCATGCTTTGGACTCCGTATGCTCTTGGAACACGAACGGAATCATGGTTTGGGCATGGATGCTCTGGTCACCGAATGCTCTTGGAACACGAACGGAATTATGGTTCGGGCATGCATGCTCTGCTTGCCAAGCATTCAACACGAAGAGTGCCCAGGGTATTCGCAGGCTTCAACTTCAGAGCCCATCCTTTCTTGGTGTGCTGACGATGCGTCTTCGCAGACTCTGTACAGGAGTGTGGCCGCGCAGGGGCTTTGACTCGAGAAGCGGCAGGGTTCTTCAAGAAAGCGCGCCGGCGCTGAAAGTGCTTTGAGTGAAGCTTGGCTATGGCCAACTACATTGCACGGATGCTGGCCGCGCAAGCGCGTGAGCTGCGCGCCACTTTTGGGCCGAAAAAGGCACGAAATGCTGGCCTGTGCAATGTTTCTGACATGTGTGTTTCTGCGGCGAGACGGCTGGTCGGAGGGCTAAACCATAAGGCCTGAACCAGAAGCCCTAAACCGAAAGCCCTAAACCCGCAGCCCTGAACCCCAAACCCCAACCCCTCAACCCCAAGCCCTAGGCCCTGAACGGCTCAGGTTTAGGGTTCAAGGTTTGGGTTTAGTCTTGTTGGATTAGCTACATCCCTATGTCATCCGATACATTACCTTATGTGATCCCCATACAAAACCCTATAAAACCCTTTACAATCTGTAATCCCAATAAAAATACGTATAAAATCCCTATACAACCTGTGCTCCCCATATACACCCTTACAAAATCCCTATACAACTTGTAATCACCCCATATAGATCCCTATGAAATCCCTATACAACCTGTGCTCCCCATATACACCCTTATAAAACCCCTGTACAACCTGTAATCCCCATACAAACCCATTATGAAAACCCCTATACAACCCTATGTCACCACTATCAACCACCCAGTGGCCTCGATCTGATGCCCAAAGAGCTCGTCGCAGAGCCCTCCGAGACTCGACGCCAGTTCCCGGACGATGTCCTTGTCATCTACTTGAGAATCTACATACCCCCATTATGGGGTATAGGGAGTATATAGGGGCTCTAAGTACCCCATTATGGTAATGTAGGGGTAATTGGGCTTAGGGTTTGGGGTTTAGGGTTATGGGGTTATAGGGAATATATAGGGTCAAACAGAAAATGAAATAGAAACTACTATTCAGGGCTTAGGGCGTAGAATTCAGGCATATTACCCCCTCATAATGGATAATGAAATGGAAAAGAAAGTGGAAAAATGGAATGGAAACTAGGGTGACATAAGAGCTACATAATCTACATAGGGATGAATACCCTCCCCCTAATGTTAAAAACCCTGCTCCCTAGTAGCAAGTATAACATTAGATATACTAATGAATACTTCCAGTATGGTAGCCGTACAGCACATACAAACGCCACTGTCTCTTCAAAGGGGGCCAGCTTAAGGGCAAGGCGAGTACTTGGAGGTTATAAGTGAAGTTTCTTTTGATTGGAATAAGGTTTTGAAAAAAAAACGGTCCGAGGCCATGTTCGTTGTAGGTGGAGAAGGCTTTGATGTAGATTGTGCTGTAGGTATACAAGGATAATGAGGGACCACCTTTGGTATGGTTTGGCGCCTACTCGGAGGTTGATGGGTAGTCTTAAGTGTGGCTCTTTGGAAGCCAAAACAAGGCTGTAACTGTAGTTCTCCTACTTACAGCCCTACCGATGAATATCCTTGAACCTCCAACACAGTGCGGGTTGAAGGTGTAGGGGTTTGGGTGTAGGGATTAGGTGTAGGGGTTTTGGCTTCCGGTTTACGCTTTGGGGAAATACTGTCATTCATGGTAAATGCTGAAGGAATGTGGTTGTGGGGGTTCTAGGTGCATGTCCTCTCAGGGTTCAACACGGCCAAGGTTATATAGGCGTGATTGCAGGATTATTGCTGTCTACACCAAATGCGGGGGAGTTTTCTGGCAAAATATCTAATTCGTTTGATGCCCTCAGCAAACAATAGCTGCTTACAAGGAATTGAAGAGGATCATCTCCACAAATCCTTGCATCAGAAAACAATGTAATTGCATGTTCCCACTACAACAACCTATGACACTGGAAGACTAGATGCAATGGGCTTACTCACCAAGAGCGGCCTACAAAACGAAGAGCACCGGCAATGGTGATAGCAATGCGGAACTGAGCCTTGGGGTCAAGGGAGCACTTCAGAGCCCAAAGTATGTAGGCCTTTGCAAAATATATTATGGAAAATAAAATGGAAACTACTATAATGGGCTTATAAAGGGAGTATATATAGGCGAAATACTGGGAAAATGGAAAGTAAAATGGAAAGTAAAATGGAAACTACTATAGTATATCGGGGTACTATACGGATATTCGGAAGTAATGTGGAATGACAGCCTGGGTTGGTAGTAGTGCTCAGGGACGATATCCTTGAAGTGGAAAGAACTACAGTAGCAACTGCAGTTGATGCTGGAAATCCTGCAGCACCCTACGTAGCACAATCCTTAGAAACCAAACATAACCCCTGAACACTGGAGTAGGTTAGGGAATCTAGGTAGCGCAAGGTTTTCAGATCATTAAACATTCGGCAGATGTCAACCTCGGCTGCATGCGGCCCTTTTTTGTGGACACGGTGACTCCTTGTCCAAAAGCGTTCCATCTATGATCTACATGCTACTACCTATAACCTTTACATTCCTTTCATCATCCCTCTACACCGCAAAACTGGCACTCAATCAACACTGTATATTACAAGCAAAATCCAGAACCAAAATCAATACAGCCTAGATTCCTAGACTCTGAGAGTTCTTAGCTCTCCATCGCCGACTCCATAACCTAACCCTAGAACCCATGCCCCATGCTGCGCCCTAAATCCTCACCCTAAACGCTCTTTCCAGCCCCTGCTGTCAAGCCGCCGCAGGACAAACGTGAGGGTCCACAACGCCGCATGAATCACGTGCAGGACCTCAGTGTTCGTTTTCCCTAAGCCATCCATAGACCTTAAAGCCTTAAACGCAAAACCCCAAAGCCTTACACTCTAAAGCCTGCAGCGCGCCCTTCAACCCTATTCCCTGCAACCCTAAACCCCCAAGCCCCAAAACCTTCAAGCCAAGCTTGGGGAAGAGGAGATTTAGGGTCTAGGGATTTAGGGATTAAAGTTTCAGAGCGGGATTTGCCGAGCACCCACCCATACTACTTGGAGGTCCATGGGACCTGATAGCTACTTATTTTACTGAAAGGCCCTCTAGCTGGACTTATACAGGTTTCCCCTGTTGCAAGTAAGGCTAAGTCCATGAGCCAGCAAGTACCTTCCTTGGGTTCTGGCCTGATATTATTAGATTGCAAGAATATAAAATGTATAACTATTGTATAGCGATGGATTGGACGGCTTTGGGGAAGGTCTCTGCTTAGAGCTTTGATATTTTTGTGGTTTTGGATTTAGGTTTTGAAATTTGTAGAACCAAGAACAAATTGCAGGCTGGGTCTGAAGGATCTGATAGCGTTGCCTGCAGTTCATGATATGAGGCGGGGAGATAGAAGATTGGCTCAGGGTATGCAAGACCTAGGCAGCAGCATACTAAGTGTATGGTTGGAGCTTATGTAGGGCCACTTGTGGCCTACATGTAAATCACGTAGACGTAGAATTGCTGAGCAAAGCAAACTGGGCAAGGATCTCTGGTTAGCAAGGAGTGCTGCAGAGGATTCTCATTTCAGTTCCTATAACCCAACTAATACTGTAGCTTCCAAGTACTGAGTGGGGAGGCTCACCCATGACATGCTCCACAAGGTCGCTAAGTATGGACGAAGAGGTCTAGGTGGGGAAGGCCCTCATCTCTGATCCCTTGTAAACCCTATGCCCTTTGCAAACCGCAAAGCTCTAAAACCTTGATTCTTCATATCTGAAGGCCCTACCCCCAAATTCAGCGACTAAATGCAAGTAAATCTGACGCCCTAAGCTCCAACTCCACGTCCCTATGCATCCTAAATCATCCTAAATCTCCTAAAGCTTTAACATTAAATCCAGAATCGGAACCCTCACCTGTGAAAGCATTGAACCTGAAGCTAAATGCAAAACTCTAAGCCTTAGACCGGAATCTCATAACCCCTCTGATCCCTGCACCGTACTCCAATCCCTCGACCCTTACTAAACGTTACACCCTAACCCAGCAACAGTTTCGTCGCTTCGAGCGCCCGGCTTGAGCTTCGGGCTTCATGGACTTCTAGGAAGTGCTCCGCCAGTACACGGTTGCCTCATTTTGGGCTCCACGCGTCTGGGGTGTTTGGTAGGTTTTCATGTTTCGGTTTTTTCGTTTTTTTTTGGACAGCTCTAGGCATTAGGCCTTGGGCTTAATTAGAGATTCAGCATTTGAGGCGTAGGAATGTACTGTAGCCTTTTAGGACTCAGCTTTTGGGCGGTAGAGCCCCATTTGACGGCGCGCCATTACAGCGGCAACTTTACTTATGACAAGTGTATCCTGCACTGCAGACCTTGCATAAACAACAAGCAGACCTCCTGAATCCAGGATGCAAATGGCGGTAAAGCCGGCGCCTTACATAATCATAAATGACGGTAAGAAGTTGTTCATCCATCTGTTACTGGGTGAGCGCAGTACCTACCCAATACCTGCATTACGTAATCTTGCCTCAACTCCCAGCTGCACCAGCGAAGATCCAAAACAGAAAGAGAGGGAGAGTTACATGAAGGGAGACAAAACGCCTCAGCGTCCAAATGGGCCCAATGGACCGCAATAGCCCCTATCATCCCTCCATGCAAGCCATTAATCATCCCACTGGTGGTTTTGGGTTCGGACGGCATACAGGCTTCTCATAACTCTAAAGGTATGCAGTTTTTAGGGTCGTGCGGGAGAACTGCCATGTACCGTTTTGGGGGAGCCCACATCTGACCCTATGAAACCCCAAAAAGCCCTACTTTCTATTTCAGGTTCCATTTCATTTTGAATTTGAACCTCCATTATTGGAATATAATCCCTGAGCCCGAGATCCCTAAACCCTGATCTCGAAAGCCTATACCCTGAACCCTCAAAGCTTTCATATCAGACCTATGAAAATGGTGACAAGGACTCGAAAGCCTCTGACAGAAGCTACTTGATGCCTAGGGGAATTTGGGCTTTCGCCTGTAGGATTTAAGGATATTTTCTAAGGCTTAGGGTTGGAAATGTAGGGTGTAGCATTAAGGTTTAGGGTTTAGGGGTTTGGGTACCCCAACCCCAAAATATCTTATGACTCGGGGATCCGTGTTAATAGGGGTCTGGGGGTGGGTTGCCAAAAACCCCTCAGTGCTTTTAAATCATTGAAGAAACCAAGCCAAGAACCCATACAGTCAAGCTGTTTGGGTGAAAACTGGTATGCAGACCGTCATAATAACAGTTGGGAGGTCCAGGTAAATCAAACCCCCAAAAGGGCAGAAACCAACTTCCCCTCTACCTCAAGCATCGGAAGCTAAGTTCTGGGAACGCACGGGCAAACATCAAACTCTCGCGGACTAATCTAAGCCCCGAAACATAAGTTCCGCATCCCCCAACCCCCAAACCCGAAACCCCTACACCCTAAACCGTAAACCAAAAACCCTAAACTCTACACCCCTAAACCCTCGACCCTAAACCTCAACCCGAAACCCCAAACCCCTGAACCCCTAGACCCCCAGACCCGAGACCCTACGCCTCCGAACCCTACACCCTTAACCCGGCTCCTTGTGATATGTCATGCATACATGCATACATACATACATACATACATGCATACATACATACATACATACATACCTGGCCCCCAAACCCCTAAAACCATCTCAAATTACAACGCCGTTGTTGAAGGAGCCGGGACGCCGATGCGCGTGAAGCAAGTTTGATTCAGGAAGTCGTCAAGCCTAGGCTCGCAAAAACAAAAGATACCAGGTCTCACGGTCTAGGGATGCAGGTGCAGGGTTTAGGGTTTAAGGTTCCGGGTTTAAGGTTTAAGGTTCAGGGTTTAGGGCTTAAGGGTCGTGTTTTTGTTGGTTTTAGGATCTGAGGTTTAAGGTTTAAGGTTCGGTTTTTGGGTTTAAGGTTCAGTGTTCAGGCTTAGGGTTTCGGGTTTTAGGGTCGGGGCTTAAGGTTCAGCGTTTAGGTTTCCTTGCACCCAACCCTCCAATGCTACCCCGCTAGCTTCCCCCTATGGGGCGTATTTCTCTAAACTCTAAGCCCTGAACCCTATATTGTATACCCTTGTTCCCTAATAAGAGCCAGTATGCTATGCAATAATCTTGTCTAAGGTGGAACCTTTAAAGTAATCGTCCAGGGGTGCTAAGGCCACCAATGACTTGAGGGTTGATAAGTCTTACGGAACCTCGGCACAAAGCGTTGCAGTGGGTTAGAATGGCTTTCTGGGGGGGATAATATGCATTACCCGCTGTAGCTTTAGCCCTGAGTTCCGGGAATAGGGTTTAGGATGACGGCTGACGGGCTTAGGGCTTGGCGCTCAGGACTTATGTTTCAAATGCTGGGGCTCTGAGTTCGAGGATTTAGGATCTGAGAGGGGAATCTTTTCCCAAAATGGGTGTCCTTATGATACATTCCCAATGCAATGATTAACCCTAGAAACCCTCATGAATGGAATTCCTGAACCCCAAGCCGTGAATCCTGACGCCGGAAGTTCACGTTTGACATTCCTTGAGTAGCTGTTGTACAGATGGTCCTGTGCGTGAGGTGATGTTTAAAAGGAGTGCTGAATTGAGCCCTACTGCTAATCACCGTAACGGTGCAAGCATTCATATAGTACATATGTTGGGCTCTCAAATGAGTTTTGGGGCTGAAATGTGTTTGTGTATGGGGACTCATGTAAATGGCAAAAAAAACCAACGCCCTACACACCCTGGACCCCCACCCTTTTACCCCTAAACCCCATTCCCACAAAACCTTTACTCCATGAATCCCTGCACCCTAAACCCAGCTCTGAACCCTTAAACCCTACCCCCAGAACCTTGAGCCGAGTGAGAGCTGGACACCTCAAGCTAGAAGCGTTCACCCGCAACCAAAAGGATCCCCACACCTCCCCTAAAACAACATGGAAGCTAATTTTCAACTCTTTTGGGGATATTCGGGTGTATATAGGATACATAGGGATGTACAAGTAGTAGGTTCTCCCAAAAATTTTGGAAGCTGCTATAACCCCCCTCTCAACGAAAGGCAGCAGTCTGTGTATGGCTTTGTTGGGTTTCCATGTCTGTTTGAGGACCTCAAATCCCATAGAATCCTGCGTAATAGTACCCATGGTCACTTCCCACTCCAGCGTAAGCACCAGTCAGCAACCCTTAACCCCTTAAAGCATTCAAATGAGAAAACAAGGTTTTAGGCTGTGGGACCACAGGGCTAGGGTTTAGGACTTTAGGAAGTTGGGTTAGGGGTTTGCATTGTAAAGATGAAGGATTAGGTTTGGGCTCCTCAGACAAGCGTCAGAAGCTTTGGGAGCGTAGTAGCGTGTGCAAGTCAAACCCTCTTAGGATCCCAACTAGCCTTTACGCAAATCCTTCAGGGCTTAGGCTCTAGGCGACCTTGCGCAGCACTAACCCCTAAGCCCATGAACTCTAATGCCATGACAAGTGTCTCAATCAAGCCGTCAAGAAGCGTTTGAAGCTCACCGTAGCCTTCCTGTTCTAAGCATGACGAAGCTGGGCTGTGGGTTTTAGGGTTTAGGTGCGGGTTTAGGATTTAGGGTTTGGTGTTTAGTGTTTGGGGCGAAAAGATGCAAGTTTCATGCGTAGGAAACAGCCTTAGCCTTTAAGAGCCAAAACAACGAACGCGATCTCTTTTCAAGCGGACACATACCTGCTGATTAGGATTTAAGGTTCAAGGTTTCGGGTCTAGGGGTAGGGTACAAGTAGCATTAACAAGATTACATAGAAAAGAATTTGCAATAGATTATCTTGCAAGCTCTGGGTTACGAAAGCCAATATAATTTACAGTAAATTCTACTGTGATTTTCCCACAATGGTAACAACTGAAGTAAATGGCCAATGTGCTAATGTTTCTTACCAAATTCACAATAATGTTATCATTTATATTATTCTAAGCACGTCAGCAATTATGATAATGCTTCCAGCATAGTTGCTTCGCATTGAGAAAGTTAGCTGTATTTAACCAAAGCCTAAATTCTAAACCAGCCGTGATGCTAAGTAAAAACGCCCGACACCCGCAACCCCAAAATGACAAAGAAAAAATCAGCAAACCGCAACCTACTTGATGCGAAACTGATAAAATCCTGGAACCCTTGCATGCGCGGCAAACATTTGGCTTCCACCATATCGTTCGGACCAGCTGCAACAAAAATGCGTCTTCCTGTGCTTGTAGAAACCAGCCAATAGCAGATGTTCCTCACTAGATCGACCAGAACAGATTTGGAACTGCCAGGATGTCGCCAAGATGTTCCTGAGTCATCTTCACTTTAGAGACCTGAGGCCTCGAAGTCTGAGAAAAGCAGAGAGCAAACTCTGAGAGTTGTCTGAGTGTGATTGGCTGAGATCAAAATCTCTAGAGCTCTCGCGCTCCTCAGAGTTTGCCAGCGTCCTTGCTGAGTGAGTCTCCTGAGAAAGAGATCTTGATCTGGCATACGCAGAAATGCATCCACGACCGCGTTGATCAACGACCAGGGATTGGGGTAGTTCCGGCTTAAGGATCGTTATTAGTCGGGCTCGGGGTCCAGCTTTGGGCTTATAAATGCGACGGGATTAGGGCTAGGCAAAAGGATTACCGTCCGTCTTGCTTCGGCTCACCTTGACCATGGGTAATTACGATCGCGGCCCTTAGTGGCTCCAATGCTGAGGGTCTACTGAAATGTTGACGGCATTCTATTCCAACCCCAATGCGTACATCAATCGGGACGACGAAGCTTTAGGGTTTATTGTGCCCTCTTAAATTCTTTGAACTACCTCGTACTACCACGATGGTGACAAAGATCAATTCGAAAGCATAAGTCAAGACTGTTAACAATCTAAGTTAGGAACCAACGCAAGAAATTCTTAACGTCCCACAGGCCAACCCAGTGCCTTAAGTGGGGATTTAAAATCGCGGTTTGGGTATAGGGTTTAGGACGCTTAATGTTTAAGAGTCCGTAACACAAGCCCCAAACTTTACACCCGAGCCAAGTACGGTAGACCCAAAATCTGATATAACGCCATCCAGTGGCTGTCTTCTTTACAAACTTCCAGGGCTGTGGGTTGAGGGTTGGGTTTGGGGTTTACGGATGTGGTCGGGTGAGGTCGTGATGATTTTCGCAATGAACCTATGCTTCTTCAAGTTGACATGGAAACTGAACAGGGTCCTATAAAGACTGCTGCGTTTTGTTCAAGACCATGTTGGATTCCATGGCAGTCTTGGGGAGGGTGATGCTTGGATATGAGGGGCTGCTGGTATCCCTGACACCCAAAATTAAGACCTTGTGTAACAATCATAGGGTCCGCAGTATAAGGGTTGAGGGTTACCAAGACATCCCGCTACACCCGTGTACACCCCTCTTTGATGTTGGACCCTCTTTACGCCAGGGATCCGCTGTCATAAGCCTTTGGGGGAGATTATTCTGGATCTGGTATGTTTGGAGGGGTCCAGAACAGGAAAATGTTTTGGGGGCCTAAATAACACAAATAGCCTAGCTTCTTACCTAGTTCAGGCTTAGTTTACCTACTAGAAAGGTTTACCTAATAGAAGCAGCTTGCAGATGCTCTCTGAGACCATTATTCTCCTAGAGAAATGATGTCCATCTGTCTGTGGCTGAGGCACAAGTGCCACTGAGGCACCAAAGCTTTAACAGCCTGAGAACTGCCGTCTCAGCCAAGCTTCTCCTTGGCCTGAGGATCATTTCCTGAAAGATGGCCCCAAAAAGGGCACAATCAACCCTAAAAATTGAACCCTAAACCTTCAACCGTATATCAACTTAAATCCCAAACTCCACTCTCCAAACCCTTAAACCTGTGGTTCCTGAGGTGGTAGAAGAGGATGATGTCTGAGTCCTGTGCTCTTCAGCCAGTGCTCCATCAATCTCAGGCAAGGTCTGGTCTAAGAACTCAACTAAAAGCTTATGCTCTTTGAGCTTCCTGAGGGCTTCCTCATGGTCCTCAAGCACCTGATTAACCTCAGTCCTCAGGCCTCTGAGGATGGCTAAGTACTCTTTCACCTTGCTGAGCTCAGCCTTGATCCGCGCTAGTTTCTGAGGACTAACTGAGCCTTGGCGCGGGGCTCCACCTCTCAGGGAGGATGTCCTTGACCCCTGTCTGAGGGTACCACCTGTCTCCTCCATCACTCTCTTCCTCAATTTCATTCTGAGGAGACCAGTCCTGCTTAGGAGGTAGCCCAGGTGGCCCAGCTGCTGGGAACTGAGAAATGGTCCTTGAGGAATGGCAGAAACTCTTCCCGATGAGGCAATCTGTTGTACTCAGCCTGAACTGAGAAGGCCATTCTGAGGTGGTGCAGCCCTAAGGACATGATCTTAGTATGGTAGCTAGAAAGATTGCCTGAGCATTCCAAGGAGTGTGGCGTCTGTGACAATGAGATTGCCAGAGCAACCTGCTGAGTATGAGCTCAGCTTCGCACCTCAGACATTTGGTCTTAGGTTCCCCTAAGACCCTCTCAAATCTGAGAGGGTCATCCTTCGCAATGCCCTCCTCTAAGAAGAGATCCTTCGGCTGCACTGAGGACATGGCTGAGATGTCCTTAAGCCCTAAAGCTGAGAAGCTGAGAGCTAAGGTTGAGAGTCTGAGCAATCAGTGGGCTGAAAAAGATGCATCTGAGTGTTCGCTCTCAACTCAAAAAAACTGAGAACGTGCTCACTTCTCCCTACTGCGTGCAGTCCAGTCACCGGCTGAGGATATACCACTGAGGCACGGAAGGTGAGGAAAACCGTCTGTGGCTTTATCCTGGCATGTGGAAATTCATTAAACAATGCACTCAAGCTCTGAATCTACTGAGAATCTACTCAAAACTGACACTGATTGCAGCTTAGACTCCCTCAGGTGCACAAGGAAGAGGCTGAAAATGCTATTGCCTGCTGAGATAGCCAGAGGTGCTTTGGATCTTAAGCTCAAGACTCAACACTCACCGCTCAAACAAGACGCAAAAGCTTCCATCACGATTACTTATGCAAGAGACCTTATTACTTGGCCATGCTGAGTGACCTTATTACTTGGTGATTGTGCCCACCTGCACCCAGTCCAACCACCCACAAGAAAGGATGTTGGATATGGGGCAACGCACTGTGGCAAACAGCTCTTAAGGGCTTCTGCTGCTCACGCACTCCCTCCACTCCTGAACTCGAGTGCAGGAGTGAACCTGCTGCAAGACTCCGTTAAACTTGGTCCCCGGTGGTGGGCCGGCTACGCAAACTCCGCGCACGGATGGCATCCACTTGGCGCTGGTCACCACACGCGCAGCACGCCCGTACACTACACCACGCCAAGGACCATCTGCTCAGCAACTAGAGAACGACTTCTGCGTTCAGCTACCTCGTCTTCCAAAGCTGGGGCGCGGCCCCCGTCTGACGCTAGCCGTCGCAGCTCCCTTCCAGCCTTTCTCACACTGGTGCCGTCGCGGCTTCCTTAACGCCAGTGCCGTCACTGGACCAACTAAGTTTCTCAAGCAGCTAAAACCTCATAGCGTATTCCCAGGCCTCCAGCCTGTACTTGCATAAACCCACGGAGAAACGCAGCACGCGTAAACTTGGCGCTCATAACCTGCAAGAGACCTTATTACTTGGTCATGCTGAATGACCTTATTACTTGGTGATTGTGCCCACCTGCACCCAGTCCAACCACCCACAAGAAAGGATGTTGGATATGGGGCAACGCCCTGTGGCAAACAGCTCTTAAGGGCATCTGCCGCTCACGCAACTTAGATAGATTCTGAGGTCCCTATGATTTTCATTGTGCGGCAAATTTAGGAGGCGCCTCCATATTAAAGAGAAATGCAAATTTTTCGGTGGAGGGGGGGGGGGAGGTGGCTACACTGAAAAGTGTCCAACATGATCCCTATACACCACACCCCTATACACCCCTATACACCCCTATATATCGTGATACACCCCGTTTTTCTCCCTATGCACCCCTAGGTTTGCCTATGTATCCCTGCTAACATTGCATAGTAATGAACAGCTTGGAATGTACCGCACCTGCAGCATGTGTATGGTGTGGTCATGACCTGCCAAGCTGTAGCTTTGGAGTTTGGAACTCTAATGTTGGGGCCTGATTAGTGTGGGGGGCCTTAATTGTGCGAAGTTTCGCCGACATTATTCAGGCCACCCCTAATGATTTGGGGGGCCTTAATTTTGCGCGGCCAAAAAACGAATTATGAGAATAAGTAGGTAATTAAAACTAGGAAACCAGATTTGTTTGATCTCCCCATTGAATTTCAATTAAAACCTAAAAACCATTAAATGTTGAGGGGGGGCTCTCACTAAATGGGCTCCCATTTTTGTTTGGGGGGGGGCCCTACACTAATCAGGACCCTACATTACCTGGGGAGCTTTATACAGGCGATACAGGGGTCAATATAAGGATATACTGGGTTTTTGGATTTTGGATACTAAGAAGAGGAGTCTACCCTCTAACTACCCTCTGGAGTGCAGAGTTTGGTATGCCAAGGCTACCTTGGGTACTGTCCCCACCCAGTAACAATCTGTCATAGGGTGAGTATTAGAGGTTATACATAACCATGATCGATTACTGGGTGGGGCAGTACCTAACCCATGCCCTGAAAGCTTCAACTACCCTAGAAAATTACATGGGTGGGGGCTTTATGTCCTCTGCAGAAGGGTTACAAGGACATGTATGGGCCATGTACGGTTGTAGGGTTTAGGGCTTAGGGTTTATTTTGAGGCTTTCTTAACGCAGGTGGGAGTTGTGCTACACAGGGATTACAAGAAGATTGTTGAGTTCTCAGCTCTAAAAGGGGTGATTTTGAGACTTCCATGTAGGGGATCCATTTCACGATTTTTGGACTCAAGTTTAGGGAGGTGGGTGTAGCGAGTTGGGGTTTAGAGCTCACTTAAACCCTAAACAACCTGAAACCCTGAAGCCTAAACCCTAAACCCTGAAACCGAAACCCTTAACGCCCTAAACCCTAAACCCTAAACCCTACAACCTCTCAACCCCCAGACCTTGCTTTGAAACTAAAACCCCCCTGAGCTCGACCCCCCGCCCGCCCCACCCGCCGTGGCTTTTCAGAGTGAAGAAGGCAACTCGAGAACCATAGAAATATGCGGGTTTCCCAAAATTAGGGGTACCATTTTGGGGGGTCCCTATAATAAGGACTATAGTATTTGGGGGCCTATATTGGGGTCCCCTCATTTTGGGAAACTACCATATAGGGGAAGTATAGAGAGTATGTAGGGGTTATATCGAGGTTGTTGAAGGCTTCCCAGGGTTTAGGGTGTAGGGTTACATAGGGATAAATAAGCGCAAGAACTCCTATTCAATGGAAAAGAACGTGGAACATGAATTGGAAACTGAGTGGGTATAGAAGTTTATAACGATCAGGGTTTCCAAAAAGTTGGGGTAACTTATTGGGCCCCCCCCATAATAAGGAGCTTAGTATATGGGAGTCGATATTGGGGGCCCTTGTTTTGGGAAACTACGAGGGTACTGGGGTTTGACTTCAAGGTTTAGGGTTCAGCCGGTGCAGATTTATGGTTTATGCTTGAGACTTTCGGTTTATCGTTTAAGGTTCAGGTTTGGGGCTGAGCAGCATTCTTCAGAGTTGAGGGCTTAGAGAACAGCTGTAGCAACCCACAGTTCCGCAAAGCGCTTCCTCGACATGGGCCCTCTGCTACCTGGTGCGCAAAAGAGCATGAGCATCGAATGTAGACTTGCAGCCCTATATACGCCCCCTCAACTCCAACACCCCAAAACGCTCGACCCTGCTACATCCCAAACCCTTGAAGGCAACCCTAGAATTCACACGCTCTGATCCCTAAACCAGCTGCTTTTTGCGATGCCCACAGCTTGGGGTTTAGGGTTTGGCTTGAGTTTAGGTCCGGAATCTGTTAAAACGGGTTCAGATATTGTAGCATGGAAAGCATCTAACAATGAGCCAACAAACCATAGAAACACCCTAGAGTCGCAGACCATCAGATTAACGCTCTGGACTGGATTCTGCTTGTCATGGGCCATGCGCAGGTTGTATAGTAATACTCACGCGCTACTTGGTTCACTGGGAATATGCAGACAGGAGCGATGCTTCATACTACTGATGAAGTTCCTTGAATGGCGCATGCTACAGTACTGCGCTTATAATGCTTAGGTTCCTGTATATGTTACACTCCTTAAAACAAACATGGACGCCCAAGAAGATAACCCTACAAAGACTACTGTGGGAGCGCACCCCGATAAACCTTAAAATCTACCCCTGAACCCATTGAGAACAAAAAGGAGACCTCGTACCAGCTGTCGCAAGACGCCGGCAAACGCCTCCACGTCTTTGGAGTCTTTGACCTGCTTTAAATTGGGCTTATGCCACGATTCTTTGGGGTTCAGAATTTAGGGTGTCTTGTTGGAGTGCAACAAAAGCCACATGGATCCAGATGGCACAACATTGGTCAGACCTGCCTTGTCATGAACCAGGGTCTCAATATATTTCCACAATGCTGCGCTTGACCCTACGACGCGTAAGTGGATGTGAGCACCTTTGCTATGTTCCTACAAGGTACTGCTGATGGGCTGTCAGTCCCTGAGTGTCATGAGGAATATTCTTTGGCCCACATGGTCAGGACATCCAAGAAGAAGACGTCCACGAAGCCTAGATGTGGTACAGCTGTGGGCTATGGGCTCCTCGAATTCACCCCCAATACCCACACTCAACAATCCTCCTCACCAACACGCTCAGCCAAACAACATAGCTCAAATTAGACGCAGCCCTAGGGCCAAGCGTCAATCCTGAACCACAAGCCATGAAGAGCGACGAAACATCTACCCATTCAGCTCCCCTCACCATGAAAATTGCTGATTTAGAAAAGCTTGGTAACTGTTTGACCCACCGCGAAAAAAATGGTACTAGCTCCGGTCGTGTGAAGAAGAGCACCACCCAAAGTGATAAAGTGCTAAAGTTGTTGCAAAATCGCGGCAGGTAAGGGTTTTGAAATCCCGTAATACAACTTCCCTCTATACTAGTCTTTCCTATGCTTTCCTTGCTTGAGCTCCCTGAAGAATCATAAAGCCAGGTCTGTTTGTTAAGGGGGAATCGGGTGAAGTGGTTCGGAGAACCCACAAATCTTGGGATCGTACCGCCTGCGCTGTAAAACCCAAGACCCAGACATTCAGCCCTGAACCCCGCCCAGAACCCTGAACTCTACGGCCCAAAGGCTAAATCCTAGAAAGCCCTATAACCCTACACCCCTAAGGCCGGAACCCAAGCTCCCTAAACCCGAAACCCATACCCCAACACCTCGGCTCGCAGGGTTCAGCCAGGTTGCTGGAGGAGTCTCTACCAGCGTCTCGAAGGCATGAAGGAAGAGCCGAAAAACCTGCCATCCCCCAAAATCTACTGGACCCACCTCATGGGTCCTTGGGGTTTGGGGTTTAGGGTCTAGGGTTTAGGCCCTTACTTCTAGGGTCCTTACATACCTGTTTGCATATCCCTAAGAAGCCCTGCAAAACCCAATGAGGGCCCCTAAACCCAAAGCTAAGATGAGTAGCGATTCTTGGCTGGTTGAACCAGGTACGATTACATTCTTCATACAAATACCAAAACCGAAAGGAGGACATGATATTACTATATATTAGGGGCTTTGGTATCTCCAAGTAAAAATGATATACTATGATATACTCAGAAGGAAACACAGATGGAAGGCTTTAGAGTTCGGGGTATGGCGTTTAGGGCGTGGGGTTTAGGGTGCTTAGGGTCTCGGACGCCCAGTGTAGGATGTAGGGTTCAGGGCTTTACGGTCTGTAGCTTAATGAGGAGACCGGACTTTAGATTTCGGATGTGGGTTTGGGGTATACGGTCTAGGGCTTCAGGTTCAGGAAATGATTGCGGGTTTAATAAGGGTTTAGGGTAAAGAGATGGTTTGGTTGATGCTAACACCCTGCACGAACTTAGTATACATATTGAACTCTCATAGCTTGCAGGCAAGGAAAACATGTCATCCGCAGGAGCTTAGTTATCGTCTCCCCGCTCATTGATGATGTTTGTGCCTTTGCTTGCATTAAATGATAAGTGTTCTTTGTAACTTGTAACATAACTACGATCAGTAGCGGACGTAGCAGATTTGGGAAGAGGGGGGGAGGAGGAGGAAGAGGAGATGGAGGAGGAGTGATGAGGGGGGGGGCGACAACGAAAAAGCTGAATTCAAAATGCCTACGACTCCTACATCCGGAGCCTCTACAAGCCAAAGCCGTCAAATCCTAAACCCTAAACTTCTACAAGCCCAAACACCTAAATCCGAAGCCCTAAAGCTCTCGAAGCCTGAGCCCTTACATCCTAAACCCTAGGCCTCTAAAAGCCCAAACGCCTAAATCCATAGCCCCTTCAGGCCTAGTGGCCAAACATCCCAAACTTACTCATCAGCGCCTCGTGGAATCGCGCATTGCAAATCACCACAAAAGGAAGCTCGAAGAAGTCCATGAGCCTCAACATCCAACATCCTAAAAGGCCTCTCTTGGGATTTACGTTCTAGGGTATAGGCTGTGGCTTTCAAATTTAGAAGTTGCGGTGTAGGGTCAATAGGGCTTCTCAAGTGTAAGTTGCCCGTGTTGGATTCTCATACATCGGTACCTCTAATCTACTCATTTTGCATAATTTAGACCTGGACTTTGGAACCTACCTGATTGGTAGATGCGGGGGGAAGGGTTTGCTGGCAGGTGTTCACAAGCAGACCCCTGGGAGAATCTAAATTTCATCCGCTGAACGAACAGGAAAAATCTCATGTATAATCACTCTAACATTGCTAAGCCCGAAACACTTGGAGGATTCAGCTGTTGGATCTCTTTCAGGGTTTGGGCAAAGAGTATAAACTAGAATATCATCTAAAGTTGAAAATGTGGGGCGACGTACAATTTCTACTAGTAATCCTACATGGCCCGAAGTGTTTCGTACCTGGCCAACAGACGGAATCTAGTATTTGGGCCAATGCAAGGGACCCCATTCAGGAAAAACTCCAATGTTGAAGCCCTAGTTTGAAAGTCGGAACAATAAATCGAGCCTGGAAACCCACAGCGTTCGAAGCTCTGGACATGAGGACAAAGTCTTCGAAACTTATGAGCTGTGAATTGTAGGCCCTGAATATTGTTAGGCATTCCTTGTAAGTCGACCTCCAATGGAGATTTGTCAGATACCAAGGGGATTCCAGGCATATGTAGGGCTTTGAAAGGAGGTTCTCAAGAGTTGGTAGTTTCCATACATTGGGGGACCCCAACATTGACCCAAATAGTATTCCTAGTTATGGGACCCCCAAAATGTTGTGCTAAAAATTAAGTTTCCCCCATGTGGGGGGGAAATTTACGCAACCCTCATATCCCCGCCATTTCTGGCAGGTTCACAGCCGCAGCCAAGGACTGCCTACAGGCCACAAGTACAGTCTGTGGGCTTGCAAACCATCCTTTCAACCGTGAAACCACATTGCACGCTGAAACCTGCACGCCTATAATTTTGTCATTCTCTAAACCCGAACCCTCCGACAACCCCAAACCCGAAGCCTAGAACTACTTGGTGGGTTGGAAAAGTCCTGTAGCATGAGCCCGAAGTGACCGCCCAAAACTAGAAACCTAAAAACTCAACTGCCGAGGACGCGGCCTGTGCGCCAGGCGTACCGGCATTTCTTCTTGAATCCACTTGGCGTGCATAACATGATGCTCCTCCGGCCTGGCGGTTGAAAGTTCAGTGGCTGCAGGCTTTCTCAAAATGGGGTTTAGGGTTGTTGAGGGTTTCTGAATTACTAGAGTTCCTAAAGACTCGGGAGATGTCTGGGAATTAAAGGAGATCAGACCATGTAAGGAGGAATGCAAACGGATAAGGGCTTGGGGAGTTATTTGGTCAGGGTAGTGCTACCCCCACCTTAACACCCCAGCCCCAAACAAGGCCTTAACAATAGGCTTTGGGTAGTCTAGGATCTTCTGATAGAGTGGCGGGTTTGTGCGCTACGTTGCGTGTCATGGGCCAAGGTTTGGAGCTTGCAATGTTTGAGTGCCAGGCCTCCCCAACACCTCCACACTGGATCCCCTAACCTCAACCGTCTAGGGCTCAGGGCTTGTGCCCCAGAACCTAAATGCAAAACTCCTAAACCCCAAATAACAAGTTTCCATTTTCTTTTCCATCATCCCAATGATATAACCCCTACATAACCCCAATATTAAACCAGTATTCCCCTAGTGGGATCCCTAAATCCCAAACGCTTATTCCTTTACCAGCAGCCCTGACGTCAACCCTGAGCCTCAATACGAGTAAGTAGTTGATCAGAATGGGGTAACTTCGGAACCGAGGGAGTTGCGCTTGTCAAGGTCACAAGTGCAGCGCACTAAATGTTTTCTCGAAACCCTGAACCCGCAACCCTGGACCCCCAACCCCAAACCCTACATATGCCCATATATCCCCGTATAACCCTATATAGCGCCATGTATAAGCCTCACTAGATGCAATGGGTCGAGGGCGTCAAGCCCTAAACCCTGTTTCTAAGGATCCTTTCTAGGAACCCCAATAAGGGACTATACGTTGGTTCATGCACAAGGGGTAAAACGCACGTAGAGTTTAGGGTTTCAGGGTTTAGGGTTAAGGCTTATAAGGTTTAGGTCTTCAAGGGTCAGGATTTAGGGTCTTACGGGTTCAGGGTTGATGGGTTTTAGGGTTCACGGCCTAGGGATCCTGGCACGATTACAAACGAGGACTCCGGAGCTGACCTGCAGAACTTAAACCCTAAACCCCAAACCCTAAACCCAAAACCCACAACCCTAAACCCTAAACCCCAACCCCCAAACCAAACCCTAAACCCTGGATCAGAGAAAGGTTGCCTTGCTCCAACCCTGGTTTCCCCGACCACCCCCTCCAATTTGAGTGAGCTTTCTGGGGGGGCCTTTAAGGTGATGCTGAGATTTCTAGGCATAGGGTTAAGGGTTGAGGATTTGGGGTTTAAGGTACATGAGGCTCCTATAAGATAAGGGCCGTGTAAGGCTTATGTATAATGGAACTACCTGCCTCAAACTTCCTAAGACCTCTACTATAATCCCCCCGAGGGTCCCGCTACATTCACAGTGCTTACTTAAGGGAGGATGAGGGCTGATTAAGGCTAGCTTTCGGCGCTAAACTCACCACCATATCCTTAAAACCTAAATCTACAAACAATGACCTAAATCCTGCACCCCAAACCCTGGGATATCAGCACAGTCAATACTGAGTTAACCTGAACCCCCTAAACCCTAAAACCTTGAACCATGAAACCTTAAACCCTAAAACTCCAAACCCCTAAAACCCTAAAACCCTAAAACCCTAGAACCCTAAAACCCTAAACCCTACAGCCAAAAAACCCTACAACCCCAAACCCCTAAACCCTAAAACCCGAAACCCCCCAACCCCTAAAGCCCAAAACCCTAAAACCCCAAAACCCCTAAAGCCTAAAACTCTAACCCTCAAACACTAACCCTAAAGCCTAAAACCCTGACTTTAAAACACTAACCCTAAACCCCTCCCCTTCCAAACCCAAAGCCTAACTAGTAGCTTCCATTTTCTTTTCCATTATCCCCCTATAACCCCAATATTACCCTAAATCCTAAACCCTGAATGCAGGTCCCAGCGGCACCAGGCTGGTCCTCTCTTGCAGCTGCCGGATCGTCACCTTGGCTTCAAACAAAGAAAAGCCTTGGGATTTCAGGTCCCTTTAAGGGGTGTTTAGGGGTTTAGGGTTTAGGGGTTTAGGGTTTAGGGTTTAAGGGTTTAAGGGTGTAGGGGTTTAGGGTTTAGGGTTTAGGGGTTTAGGGTTTATGTAGGGATATACAGGGATATAGAGGGCAGTATTGGAATTTACAAGGGTTAAGGGGTTGGGGGGGCCCTGGGGTCTAACCCCAAAATGCCAAAGAGGAGGGTGGGTTTTCCTGCTGGGTATTAAGGATGCCGGTTTGGATTTAGGGTCTAGGGCATAGGATTTAGGATTTATGTAGAGTATAGCCAGGTTTGCTTCAGGATTTAGGGTTTGAATCTCTTACCAAAGGTAACTAGTAGCATGGAACCCAAAAAGAGGCTGTATGAAGACAACCGTCCTTCTTCAAACATGCGTATAGGGGGTGTCCATGTCTTGGGGGGGAGTGTAGACGTGTTCCAGACGTGGGGAAGAAAATTAGTTATGGGGTTTGTAGTATCACAGAACAGGAGGCATGCACCAAAAACGCATGTGACAACTGGAGGTCGGATTTGTATAGGCAAGCTCGTACCCTAAACCTTGAATTTTCCCCCTATGAGAGCTCTCTCACATCAAAGAGTTATTGAGGTGTGAAAAGCGTTCAGCGAACAGTTGTTGCGCAGCTTGGGAAATAATCTTGCCTAAGCTCACTGGGAACTCCTCAAAGCCTTAAAACTCCAGACCTCGTACAAAGTTTTTGTTGAGTTCCATGATAGTTTGAGGGAGGGTGTTTTTTTGTGTTGCAGCCTGCCAACCCTGCTGCTGGTCGCACTTATATTTATTTACATATGCTGCATCCGCACTTGGTAGACCCTAAACCCTAAGCCCTACACAACCCGAAGCCCCGTGCTCCTTTGCGTTCCTACTAACTAGAGACCCCCAGGGTCCCTTCATCGCCCCATGAGCCTTTAATGTACTAATATCATAATATAGTATTATAGCAATCGGGTAATATAGGTTAACCCTGAAACAGACAACCTAATCCTTGAGAAGCTATGCCCAGTCCAAGCCGAAGTCGCGCGTTGGATAGGCGCCCGCGCCAAACGCCTGGCAGAGTTCGAAAGGTCGCGGTTTAGGGCTCGTAGGATTTGTAGGGATTTGTAGAGATTAGTGTCTGAGGGAGGTTGGGTTTTTTGAAGGTTACGGCTTTCAGCTTTAGGGCTCAGGGTCCGGGTAATTTGAAATAGCTTAGAACAAGCTACTTTCTACTTGCATTTATACCCGGCCTGTGGGGCTTACATTTGGGCTATAGCAACAGCCACAAGAAGGTTATGAGTATTCCAAGGTTTAGGGTTTGGGTTTGGGTCTTTTGGTAGCGTCTAGGGCTGTAAAGTTCAGACCTCAACTCAACGGCATTAGAGTTTTGAGCTTTTCTTTGTTGAGGGTCTGGGGTTTTAGGGTTTGGGGTTTAGGCGATTTAGGGTTTGGAGCTTCAGGCTTAGCATTTACTAATATGTACAAGTTGGTCTCCAGACTGTGAGCTCTCAAACTTATTGCAGAGACCCCCGAAAAGGTACCTCTAATTCTGGGAAGCCTTAAGCCTTTGAATATCCCCACATATCACCCTACTGTATCCCTTGTAGAGGGACCCCAATTTTAAGTCATATAACTCTGTATAAGCCTGTATCCCCTCTAAACCCTAAAACCTACCTTTAAAGAGGCCCTGACTTTAAGTCAGTGGCCTTGGCCAATCATCATCTGCTATTTTCAGGCTGCAGAGTAGCAGGGTTGACGGTGGAGGTTGTTTTCCTGCAATTTGGGTTGCAATTAAGGAACTTGCATGAAGTTACCATACATAACCGGAAGTCACATCATTCTTCCTCATATATACATATATATACATGTACCATAGATACTACGTATTTATGTTATGGTAACCTAACGTAAGCTCCTCAGCAGCAATTCAATAGCTGCTTCCGAACATTTTAGTTACCTTGGGGTCCCGCATTTTACCATATGCGAAAACCCAATCGACATTCAAATTCGAAACAGCTTCCATACGCCCGTCGTCTCTTGACAACAAAACTCCCCCGCCCAGCAAAAAAAACACCACCTCCTAGGCAGCTCGAGCAACTGAAAGCCAAAAGACATCGCACTCCTGGGAAAATATAAAAATCGATGCATCCCTGCACCCTATACCCTACACCTTACAGCCCAAACCCTAAACCCTATACTCTGTAGCCCACACCTTAAGCATCCTTAAACCTTAGACCTCTTGATACCAAGCCCTGAGGCCTTTAAGCCCTTTTCCCCGAATGCTCCGACTGAGAGTTCAAAAACCTGAAGACCTGACCGAAAAATTCGGGCTGTAAGAGGTAACATCTGGGCAGTTTAGGGTTTAGGATTTAGGGTTTAGGGCTTATAGGGCTTAGGGTCCGCGGCTTAATCTAAACCCATGAATAATACAACCCCTACTTTTTTATGGCCTTGATATTAGGATCCCCATTATAATCCCTATTAAGGGGAGGGGGTTTATTGATCATGGGCCATGGGTTAAATCCCAAGTCCTGTCCCCTGAGCCGTTTGGGGTTCT